TTTCGAGGAGTTACAAGTCATCTCCTACACCATCCTGCAGTGCCCCGGCACTAGGGCCACCCCCGTGCCACCGATGAGGTCCTCAGTGTTGCCTTTGTTCCTGGCCACACTGCGTGCACTGTCCTACCAGTTTGATGCTGGTGCCGGCAATAGATGCCCAGAGCCTGGAAATGGGTCACGGGTCAGCAGGAGAGCACCTGAAGAGCAGCACAAAGGAATTCCAGTCAGTAAGGCAGCTTCCTCGGGGGTCCAGCTTAAATACCTCTTTGCAAATGCATATAGGATGGGGAATAAACAAGAGGAGCTAGAGACGTGCGTACATCTGCAGGGCGACAATCTTATTGGCATCACAGAGACATGGTGGGATGACTCCTATGACTGGAGTGTTGCAATGGAAGGGTACAGGCTCTTTAGGAAGCACAGGCAGTGGGGATGAAGAGAATGTGTCATGAATCTCTGCCTGGGGATGGTGAGGATGGTGAGATACTCAGCAACATTTTTGCCTCATTCTTCACTATCAAGGGCTCCAGCCACACCACCCAAGAAGCAGAAGGCAAAGGTGAGGTCTGGCAGAATGAAGAATGACTCACTGTAGGACAAGAGCAGGTCTGAGACCATCTAAGGAACCTGAAGGTGCACAACTCGATGGCACCTGATAAGATGCATCTGTGGAAAACTGAGGGAACTGGCAGAGAAAGTGGCTAGGCCACAATCCATCATATTAGGGAAGTCGTGGCAGCCCGGTGAAGGTCCTGACAGACTGACACGAAAAGGGGAAAAATAACCCCCATTTTTACAAAGGGAAAAAAAGAAGACCCAGGAAGACAGGCCAGTCAGTCTCACCTCTATAGCCGGCAAGATGATGGAGTGGATCCTCCTAGAAACTGTGCTAGGACGCATGGAAAATGAGGAGGTGATTGGTGACTGTCAGCATGGCTTCACTAAGGGCAAGTTGTACCAGACAAACTTAGTGGCCTTCTATGACAGGGTTACAGAGGTAGCGGATAAGGGAAAAGCAACTGATGTCATCTACCTGGATGTGTGCGAAGCATTTGATACCGTGCCACAGGACATTCTTGTCTCTACATTGGGCAGATATGGATTTGAGGGATGAACCACTCACTGGATAAGCAATTGGCTGGAGGGTCACACTCCAAGAGTTCCGGTCAGCGGCTCGATGTCTGAGTGGAGAGCAGTGACGAGTGGCATTCCTCGGGGGTCGGTGTTGGGACTGGTGCTGCTTAATGTCTTTGTGGGCGACATGGTCAGTGGGATGGAGTGCACCCTCGGCAAGTTAACCGATGACACCAACCTGTGTGGTGCGGTGACACGCTGGTGGGCAGGGATGCCATCCAGAGGGACCTGTCCAGGCTGGAGAGGTGGGCCTGGGCAAACATCTAGTGTTCAACAAGGCCAAGTGTAAGGTCTTGCACATGGGTTGAGGCAATCCCATGCACAATTCCAAGCTGGGCAATGAGTGGGTTGAGAGCAGCGCTGCAGAGATGGACTCGCAGGTATCAGTGGATGGAAAACTGCCTCTGAGCCAGCAATGTGAGCTCACGACCCAGAAAGTCAGCCATGCCCTGGGCTGCATCAAGAGAAATGTGGGCAGCGGGTTGATGGAGGGGATTCTTCCCCTCTACTCCGCTCCGGGGAGAACTCCCTGCAGTACTGTGTCCAGGTCTGGTTCCTCAACATCAGAAGGACGTGGACCTGCTTGAGTGGGGCCAGAGGAGGTCACAAAGATGATCAGGGTGATACAGCATCTCCCCAGTGAGGCCAGGCTGAAAGAGTTGTGGTTATTCGGCCAGGAGAACAGAAGGTTCTGGGAAGACCTTATAGCAACCTTCCAGTACATAGAGGGGCTACAGAAAAGGTGGGGAAGCTACTCTTTCTCAGGGGGTGTGGGGATAGAACGAGGGTTAATGGATTTAAAGTGAAAGAGTTTGGATTTAGATTAGATATCGGGAAGAAATTTTTTTCTGTGAGGGTGGTGAGACACTGGACCAGGTTGCCCAGAGAAGCTGTGTCTTACCCCTCCAAGGAAGGGATTAAGATCAAATGGGACGGGGATTTGAGCAACATGGTCAAGTGGAAGGTGTCCATGACCATGGGATCTTAAGGTCCCTTCCAACTTAAACCATTCTGTAATTCTATGCTACTATGATTCCATGAAGGATGAAGAAAAAACATGAGACAACATTGCGATGCAACACAGCTTTTATTGCGGTTCAAGGGGAGGAAGGAGTTGGGAGAAGAGCAGGGCCTTGGCCAAGGGCAGCCCACATCTCCTGGCAGCAGGCAGAGTGAGTGTGAGCATCAGCCGTGCCGCAGGAGCAGGCACCCAGCATGGGGCTGCGTCGTCAGTTGGCAGCAAGTCCTGAAGTAAAGCTCAAGGGTGACAGGAGGAAGGCAAGTGTGTCCACGAGCAGGCACGAGGCATCCAAGCTCTGGAGCCCAGCAATGCCAATGTCCTTCTGTGGGGCGTCGTGTCCGGGAAGATCACCTCGGTGTGTGGCGGGAGCAGGTGAGGAGTTTAGCAGGGTGAGCAGTTGCCGTTGAGGTATCTGTGGCCTCGGGCCCAGCCACCATATCCACAGCCCCCATAGCCACCCCAGCCTCCATAACCTCCGTAGCCTCCCCAGCCCCCACAGCCTCCATAGCCACCCCAGCCTCCATACCCTCCATAGCCTCCCCAGCCACTATAGCCTCCATAGCCACCCCAGCCCCCATAGCCTCCATAGCCTCCATAACCACCCCAGCCACCACGGCCTCCAAAACTGCCACCAAAGCCCGACCCAATGACGGGGGCTCCTGCCGAGCCAACGGTGCTGTGCTGCGGGAAGGAGCTGAGGATGGGCCCGGGGAAGGTGACCACCGAGGCCGGGGGCTGGATCACCACCGTGGAGTCGGGGCACTGCCGCACGCAGGGCTCGTTGCAGGTGTCAGCCAGAGGGGCCGGGGCGGCCGCCCCACAGGACGTGTTGCACAGGCTGGTGCACGACATCTTTCAGGCAGGCAAGGAGTCCTGGAAAAGGCACCAGGGATTAGGCCAGGGTGTGTGTGGGGAAGGGGCTGTATCGAGGGGGTCAGGGAGAGATCCCCAAGAGGCTTCCGAGAGCTGGACTTACCCGGTTGATCAGGAGAGTCAAGCAGGGGAAGATGGATAGAGGGCTGCAGAGCCCTCAGCTCTTTTATACCTGTCCCACAGTGCCTGGGGCATCAGCCAACGGGGCGGTGGCAGGAATCCCAGGAAATTATGAAAGAACGCGAACAAACTTTATGACACAGATTGTGATGTGAGACAATTACATACCTACTCATTTGATACATTGTCCTGGAAACTCATCTAGGAGAGTATAGTGGTGATGGGAGCAGAGATCATAACATGCTATTACATGAAAGATCAGGAAACCCTATAGGTGATCTCGTGGCACCAATAAACCCCAATCTCTCCTTAATCTCCCACACTTTGTTTTTCTAGAAGAATCCTGGACATCTTGCAGAATTGCTTTTCGATCCTGGGTGCAGCCATCGCGCCTGTCATTCCCTCTCTTTTACAGGCTGGTAAACAAATGCCCTGGGATGTTGGCAAAGGGAGAAGCCATTCCACACGCTCAGGGTGACTTCCAAACACACACCACCTCCAAATGCCAGCAACAGCTGTGCATATCATGGGCCTGGGGTCCACAGGTATCTCTATTCGTTGCCCATCTCTAAGGGTCTGGAGGACATTCAGACTTTTAGGTTCAGGTTTCCCATGACGCCCATGCAAAGAGTAGAGGAGACGGGTCCCAGGCATGGCAAAACCAGAAATGCCCAGGGAGCTGGTAGAGACGTGATGGGCACAACAGTGAGATAGAGCAGGGGAGATCTCTGAGATGGGGGACGTATATGGAGAAGCAGAAGGGCAGCAACTGGACCCGGTCACTGCCAGGTCCCCGCAGCCTCATGTCTGTGAGCACGATCCTCCCCAAGCCCTCTTTGCAGGGGCTGCGTGACTCAGCTGGGCACTGAGGACTGTGCCGGGAGATGCTGCCCAAGCACCCACAGGGAACCAGGCCGCACGTGGCCACGCTCCCCACAGGCACAGGCATGCTGGGCACTGCTGGCCCTGGGCACGTGGCTGGGCTGCTGCTGAGTGCGGCGTGGTTGGGCACAGCAATCTTCTGCAAGATGCCCAGGATTCCTCCACGTAAGCAAAGCGAGGGATTAGGGACAGATTGGGGTTTATTGGTGCTGCGAGTTCAGCTACAACGTCGCCTGGTCTTTCATGTACTGACGTGTCACAGACAATCCCTCCCTACAGCTCTTTCTTTTTCAGGGCGCGTTTGTACACCAACGTCCCCATTGAGGAGGCATATAATTGTCTCCCATCCCTATCAGTGACATGCATCTTGTCAGCTTGAATTCAAAATTACCTGGGATGTTTGCAACTGCCACTTTGGTTGGTGCCCCGGGCAGCCTGGGAAATGTATAAAAGAGCTGAGGGCTTTGCAGCCCTCTATCCATCTTCCTCCGCTTGACTCTCCTGATCACTGTGGTAAGTCCAAATCTTACCTCGCTCTTTCCTTCCTCACCAGTGGCTTTCTTATGACCTCTCTTGCTGTCTGCTCCACCACGGTTTTATAGTGCAGAGTTAGGATGTGACAGTACTTTTTGAGAGACATGGAAAGGATGGAAATTTAAACTTGTAGGTACGATGCCATGAGTATGCCAAGGGATTGAAGTTTTTTGGGAGAACGGTGGTTTTCCACCTGCCTTGGATGAGGGAGTTTTTCCTCACTCCCATGGGTGAATGAGAACTAGGAGCATGAAGGGAAGGAGTCCAACCCAGCATTTCGACACTTGGAAAGTTTTTTTGCTCTAACTGCCTGAGATGGTCCTGAGCATGTCTCAGGACACAGATCTGAAGTGCAAGAGAGCCAGGAGGGATTTGGGGTCAGGCCTTGCACTGAGCTGTAGCTCTGTCTTGTCTTGCAGCCTTACCAAACCAAAAGATGTCGTGCACCAGCCTGTGCAACACGTCCTGTGGGGCGGCCGCTCCGGCCCCTCTGGCTGACACCTGCAACGAGCCCTGCGTGCGGCAGTGCCCCGACTCCACGGTGGTGATCCAGCCCCCAGCCTCGGTGGTCACCTTCCCCGGGCCCATCCTCAGCTCCTTCCCACAGCAGAGTGTTGTTGGCTCAGCGGGAGCCCCCGTCATTGCATCCGGATTTGGTGGCAGTTTTGGTGGCCGTGGTGGCTATGGAGGCTATGGGGGATATGGGGGATATGGGGGCTGGGGTGGCTATGGAGGCCATGGAGGCTGGGGTGGCTATGGAGGCTATGGGGGCTATGGAGGCTATGGGTGTTATGGGGGCTACGGAGGCTATGGGGGTTGTGGATATGGAGGATGGCGCCGTGGCAACAGGTACCTCAGTGGCAACTGCGGTTCCTGCTAAGCTCCTCACTGGTTCCAAGGAGAGATGAAGTAGACCTCAGGAAAAGGACTTGGCACATCCCAAAACAATGCTTATAGAAGGACATCCCTTCAGCATTGCTGCGCTCCAGAGCTTGGATGCCTCGTACATGGTTGGGGCCCAATTCTGCTTTCCTCCTGTCCCGCTTTACCATCCCTTCAAGACTCATTGCCCCTCAGTGACAGAGACCTGCACTGGGTGCCTGCTCCTGCAGCACAGCTGATGCTCGTTGTACCCTCCTCACTGCCAGGAAGCAGGGGAAGGCCCTGGCCAGGGCCCTGTTCTTCTCCCAGCTCCCTCCACCCTCTAAGACTGCAATAAAAGCTGTGCATTACATCACAGTGTCGAACCATGGTTTTTCCTCAGCCTTCCTGATTCTTTCCCACTTCCCCCAAACCTCAGGATGTGTCGGTCTGGGCTGCTTGTGTCTCCTACGGTCATGCCCTTGGAGCATTTGAGCAGTTTGCTCAATGTGTTACAAGGGACAATGGCAATCCCAGCTGGGTCTTGCAGAGCTCGTGCCACTGAGCTTCCTCTGGTCTCCCACTAGGAATGAACACAACGTGTTCCCAAAGACCCTGCCAAATCGGTGAAAGTGCCATTGGTGTCTAGCAGAAGCTCTTCCAAATCCTCTGCAAAAACCGCATGTCAGCGACTACCCCCTTTCAATGGCTTGTTAACAGTCACATTTGGATCTCCCAGGAAATGGAGAGATGACCACTTCATGTACAGGGCTGCTGGCCATGCCCCTGTGCCCAGCTGGAGGTGGGGGCCACTGCAAAAGGGTGAGATAGACACAGTCAGGTCTTCCAAGGTTTCCTTTCAGAGCCATGAAATGGCCACGGTTACTCAGTCACACAAAGCACGATGCTCTTTGAGCAGGAGGTTGGCGTGCTTACCCTCCTGAGCTCCCTCCCTTTTCCAATATCTTCTGCTCTTGTGATCCCAGCATGACAAGGTGGTTTTGTACAGAGACAGCTCCGGGCAGAGCCATCAGGAAGGGCAGGGTGGCAGCACGCTGGTCACTGTTGGGGAGCTGAAGAAAGGATGTCTCACCCGCAACTGTGAACACAGTGCAAGGTAAAAAAAAAGGCAGCAACATTGCAAGAGCAGGACTTCTTGTTTTCGACTGCCTGAACAGAAGCTTGCATGTCTATTCTTCCACTCGAGGATGTTTCAGTCTCTGCCCATCCTCGTGTTTGACCAGGGCCCCCTGAACTGACTCTTGGCCATCCTCCAGTTCCTGGCTCATGTGGTGTCCCCTGTGTGTTTGCTGAGGGCATGGCGGTGGAAATTAATTTTCCTCCTAGTTAATGGTACAGTGCTGTGTTTTGTATGTTTTATGAGAATTATGTTAACTCACTGATGTTTTAGTTGTGGCTAAGTAGTGGTTATCCTCTGTTAAGTTATTTTTTCAGTTTCCCAAGATCTGACAGCATCGGGTGTGCAAGAAGCTGGGAGGGACGAAGGATTGAGATAACAACAGGTTGATTTGTGTGCTCTTCTGAATTTGTTAAAATGTCAACTGCTTATCCTGCTATAATGTCAATTGAATGGTTCCTGGAATCATGGTCTTTCTTGTTACAGTTGTGTTATATGTCACCTTACTTACCTGGCAGCGGGTGCCGCCCTGCCGTCTCACCACAGGATACAGGGGGGTCTCTGCTCCGGCACACCTCCCCCTTCCTTTCTTCCTCCGTTCCTCCACTGACCTTGGTGTTCATGCAGCTGCAGCAACTCTTCCTCACAAGTCCCACTGCCCGTCACCACGTCCCTTCTTAAATACGTTATCGCGGAGGCGTAGCCGATTGGCTCGATTTCCCAAACAGAAGTGGAGCTGACGTGGAGCTGGGGGAGCTTCGAGAAGCTTCTCACAGGGGGCTGCCCCAATAGCCCCGTCCCCTGCCACCAAAAAACTCCACCACTCACTCAACACAAGACATAGCATGACCAGGGCATCTAACCCAAAGCAGCTAAGGGGATATTCTATAGAAGACAACATCATGCTCACTACATAATCTGGTGGAAATGGATGGGGAGAGGCAGTTGCTGCTAGAACATTGGACAGTGGTTGGCGAGCAAGTACATTGTACGTCACTGGATTTTCTTGGGTTTTATTTCTTCCTCTTTTTGTTATATTCTCTAATATTCTATGAATGATTATTATTATATTTTTATTATTATTATATTATATAATAATTATTAATATGTTATTATCCCAACCCAAGAGCTTTATTAGATTTCTTCTTCTCCCTGTCCCACATGAGAGAGGAGGAATGCATAAGTGGCAACATTCTGTTTAGTTCCTTCCTGTTGTTAAACCACACAGCATGATGGAGGAATAGCAGGAGGATGAGGTGGTGCAGGGGTGAAAGAATTTGGAGGGGATGATGTCATGGCAGTGAGGAGGTCCTGGGGGGGAGCTCATCCTCTCCTTTCTCGACCCATGGCATCCCAAGGAGCTCTGACCTGAGCCTTTGCCGTTGTGGTGGCTCCATTAGCACCCCAATCCCCACAGCCCTGGGGAAGAGGCAGCCCATGCAGAATGGCCAGAGTGGGAGGAATACTCCCTGTGGGGCCCAACAGTTCTTCTTGTGTTCAGAGGGCAGGAGGTCAAAGTGGGGAGAAGACGGGGAGGGCAAAAAGCAAGAAGCTGTTGCTGAAGGAGGTGAGAACGGCCCCAAGTGCAGGTAACTGTGTGGTGGAGGGACGTGCTGCCAAGGGCGAGCAGGAGGAAGCCAGGCAGCTCCCGCAGGTGCCCCTGATGAGGCCCTGGGTGGGATCTGGCTGTGATAACCCAGACACAAGGCTGCCACTCGGGATATTGGGTATGTGGGAAGGATGAAGAAAAAACATGGATCAACAGTGTAATGCAACACAGCTTTTATTGCGGTTCAAGGGGAGGAGGGAGATGGGAGAAGAGCAGGGCCCTGGCCAAGGGCAGCCCACATCTCCTGACTGCAGGCAGAGTGAGTGTGAGCATCAGCCGTGCCGCAGGATCGGGCACCCAGCATGGGGCTGCGTCGTCAGTTGGCAGCAAGTCCTGAAGTGAAGCTCAAGGGTGACAGGAGGAAGGCAGAGTGTGGCCACGAGCAGGCACGAGGCATCCAAGCTCTGGAGCCCAGCAATGCCAAAGAGATGTCCTTCTGTGGGGCGTCGTGTCTGGGAAGATCACCTTGGTATTTGGGTGGAGCAGGTATGGAATTTAGCAGGGTGAGCAGTTGCCGTTGAGGTATCTGTGTCTTCGGGCCCAGCCGCCAGATCCACAAACCCCACAGCCTCCATAGCCACCCCAGCCCGCATAGCCCCCATGGTTTCCATAACTACCATTGCCTCCAAAAATTGAAGACATTGTATGTTTTTTGTTTGAGAAAAGGATCACGAAGGAACAAATTTATTAACTATTTTTTTTTCTGCCTTTAAATGCTGTTCCTTAGTATGGGGCTAAGTTTTAACAGTTTGTAGCTGTTGTGTCTACAGCACAAGGGTGTCTATCACAAGGTCTTGAAACTCTCACAAACCCTGTGCACTATCCCACATGCCATCTGATATTTAACGGTGGATCTTGAACTTCATTATCAACATATACCTGGCCAACATGGAAAATCAGAAGAGCAAACTCAAACAAACCAACCCAAAACCAAGTTTTCGGTGCAATGCGGATTCTTTAATGTAGATGGAAAATGCAACAGGCAGCAACAGCGGGAAACAAAACGACACAGAAACAATGGTTTGGAAACACAAAAATCGTAAGGCTGCAGCAAGGCACAACCCTGGGCTCCACTCTAGAGATTTTCCCTTCTGGTTGCAGGTCGGGAGTCTCAGAGCCGGGCAGAGCTGGGGAGACCCTCACCCAAGGAGGAGTACAGCTTTGTTCTATTGCGGGTAGACAGGAGCTTTTGGAGGCAGTGCTGGAAACCCTAAAGCAGCCACGTGAAGATCTGCAAGGTTACTCTGTGCAAATAAGCAAGGACTGTAAAGTTCAAGTAGCTGCTTTGCCACAGCCTAAAGAGTGGCTGAAAGCTTTACCCTGCATCTGGTGGTAGAAGACAAGACGGCTACTTGCGGAGACCGAGGGCAGAGGCAGCACTGCACTCCATGGATGTTTGGGGTTTAGCAGACCCCACAGTTGCCTCGGCCCCAGCCACCGTACCCATAACAGCCATAACCCCCGTGGCCTCCGTAGCCACCCCAGCCCCCATGGCCTCCATAGCCACCCCAGCCTCCATAGCCTCCAAAGCCTCCACGGCCTCCAAAACTGCCGCCAAAGCCCGACCCAATGACGGGGGCTCCTGCTGAGCCAACGGTGCTGTGCTGCGGGAAGGAGCTGAGGATGGGCCCGGGGAAGGTGACTACCGAAGCCGGGGGCTGGATCACCACCGTGGAGTCGGGGCACTGCCGCACGCAGGGCTCGTTGCAGGTGTCAGCCAGAGGGGCCGGAGCGGCCACCCCACAGGACGTGTTGCACAGGCTGGAGCACGACATCTTTCAGGCAGGCAAGGAGTCCTGGAAAAGGCACCAGGGATTAGGCCAGGGTGTGTGTGGGGAAGGGGCTGTATCGAGGGGGTCAGGGAGAGATCCCCAAGAGGCTTCCGAGAGCTGGACTTACCCGGTTGATCAGGAGAGTCAAGCAGGGGAAGATGGATAGAGGGCTGCAGAGCCCTCAGCTCTTTTATACCTGTCCCACAGTGCCTGGGGCATCGGCCAAGGGGGAGGTGCAGAAACCCCAGGAAATCATGGAAGGACGCGGACAAGCTTCATGACACAGATTGTGATGCGGGATAATTACATACCTACTCATTGGGTACATTGGCTTGCAAACGCATCCTCGATAGAAAAGGGGTGAGGGAGGGTCAGACCATGACACGGCATTACATGAAAGAGAAGGCAGTGCTGTAGTTGACCTGTTTTCACCAATAAACCCCAGTCTGTCGTTAATCTCTCACTTTCCTGCCATGGAGGAATCCTGGGCATCTTGCAGAAGATTGCTGTGCCCAACCACGCCGCACTCAGCAGCAGCCCATCCACGTGCCCAGGACCAGCAGTGCCCAGCATGCCTGTGCCTGTGGGGAGTGTGGCCACGTGCGGCCTGGTTCCCTGTGAGTGCTTGGGCAGTATCTCCTGGCACAGTCCTCAGTGCCCAGCTGAGTCACGCAGCCCCTGCAAAGAGGGCTTGGGGAGGATCATGCTCACAGACATGTGGCCAAGGAAGCTGAGAGTGTCCTGGTACCCTTCCTGCACTTCAGCAGTCCCTGAACGTCACCCCTCAGACATGACCATGGCACCTGATCTCACTGCTCCCCGCCCATGTATGCACTGATCCCCTGCTCGTATGGCTCTTCACCCCACAATGCAAAGGCTGCCCCTGCTCCTTACATGGCAGTTAATCCGCACAACCCCAATACACCCTGTCAAGTACGGGCATGGAGGTGGCCAAGGCTTAGAGATGCTCTTGACCTCTTGCACCGAAATGCCTCCAGCCCTCACAGGCACAGGGAGACGGTGAGCATTTGGGAGTCACCCTGAGTGCGTCGAATGGCTTCTCCCTTTGCCCAACACCGCGGTGCCTCTGTTTACCAGCTTGTAAAAGAGAGGTAATGACAGGCGTGATGGCTGCAGAGTGCAAAGCGCTTCTGAAAGATGCTCAGGATATTGGCACGTGAACAAACAGGGGGGATTAGGGAGAGATTGGGTATTACTGGCACAGCCTGGTCAGCTGATCAGCAGAACTCTGTCTTTCATGTAATGGTATGTCATAGGCCATGCCTCCCAGCACCTCTATCCTCTCCATGGTGCGTTTGCATGTCAATGGCCCCAGTGAAGAAGCATCTAAATTTTTTACATCATAAATTGTGTCATGAAGCTTGTCCACTTGCTTTTCCTGAGGTTTTTTGCACCGCCCCCTTGGATGATGCCCCAGGCACTGTGGGACAGGTATAAAAGAGCTGAGGGCTCTGCAGCTCTCTATCCATCTTCCCCTGCTTGACTCTCCTGATCAACCGGGTAAGTCCAGCTCTCAGAAGCCTCTTGGGGATCTCTCCCTGACCCCCTCGATACAGCCCCTTCCCCACACACACCCTGGCCTAATCCCTGGTGCCTTTTCCAGGACTCCTTGCCTGCCTGAAAGATGTCGTGCTCCAGCCTGTGCAACACGTCCTGTGGGGTGGCCGCTCCGGCCCCTCTGGCTGACACCTGCAACGAGCCCTGCGTGCGGCAGTGCCCCGACTCCACGGTGGTGATCCAGCCCCCGGCCTCAGTGGTCACCTTCCCCGGGCCCATCCTCAGCTCCTTCCCGCAGCACAGCAGCGTTGGCTCGGCAGGAGCCCCCGTCATCGCATCGGGCTTTGGTGGCAGTTTTGGCGGCCGTGGTGGCTCTGGAGGCTATGGGGGCTCTGGAGGCTGGGGTGGCTATGGAAGTTATGGGGGCTTTGGTGGCTTTGGAGGTTGTGGATCTGGCGGCTGGGCCCGAGGCCACAGATACCTCAACGGCAACTGCTCACCCTGCTAAATTCCACGCCTGCTCCACCCACATACCAAGGTGATCTTCCCGGACACGACGCCCCACAGAAGGACATCTCTTTGGCATTGCTGGACTCCAGAGCTTGGATGCCTCGTGCCTGCTCGTGGACACACTCTGCCTTCCTCCTGTCACCCTTGAGCTTCACTTCAGGACTTGCTGCCAACTGACGACGCAGCCCCATGCTGGGTGCCTGCTCCTGCGACATGGCTGATGCTCACACTCACTCTGCCTGCTGCCAGGAGATGTGGGCTGCCCTTGGCCAGGGCCCTGCTCTTCTCCCAACTCCCTCTTCCCCTTGAACTGCAATAAAAGCTGTGTTGCATTACACTGTTGATCCATGTTTTTTCTTCATCCTTCCCACATACCCAGTATCCCGAGTGGCAGCCTTGTGTCTGGGTTATCACAGCCAGATCCCACCCAGGGCCTCATCAGGGGCACCTGCGGGAGCTGCCTGGCTTCCTCCTGCTCGCCCTTGGCAGCACGTCCCTCCACCACACAGTTACCTGCACTTGGGGCCGTTCTCACCTCCTTCAGCAACAGCTTCTTGCTTTTTGCCCTCCCCGTCTTCTCCCCACTTTGGCCTCCTGCCCTCTGAACACAAGAAGAACTGTTGGGCCTCACAGGGAGTTTTCCTCCCACTCTGGCCATTCTGCATGGGCTGCCTCTTCCCCAGGGCTGTGGGGATTGGAGTGATAATGGAGCCACCACAATGGCAAAGGCCCAGGTCAGAGCTCCTTGGGAGGCAGTGGGTCGAGAAAGGAGACGGTGAACACCCCCCTAACACCTCCCCAGATGCCTGATTCCATATCCTCCACAATCCTGCACCCCCAAACCACCTCCTTGTTCTGAAATTCCCCTGTCTTCCACTGCACTTGGGGAAGATTTGGTCCCATGGTGCCCCCACTGCTGTTGCAGAAGCTCATCCCAGCGTTCCTTTTTCCAGCCATCTACTACCTGAGGACACAGCTCTGCGCAGGAATGACAGGGGAGATCCCCACAGCCTGGTGCTGTGGATCAGATTTTGCTGGAACTTTGATGCCTTTCCTTGCTCTCCAGCACACAAAGTAGACCATACTGGCGCTCCCCGCAAAAGCACCCAGCCATAGCAGCCATGACGGGGACATCAGTAGCCTCTTCTACCACTGTGCCCTCAGCAGACACACTAGTTCCACATGAGCCAGGAATTGGAGAATGGCCAAGAGTCAGTTCAGGGGGCCCTGGTCATACACGAGGATGGGCAGAGACTGAAACATCCTCGAGTGGAAGAATAGGCTTGCAAGCTTCTGTTCAGGCAGTCGAAAACAAGAAGTCCTGCTCTTGCAATGTTGCTGCCTTTTTTCCCATACACTGTGTTCACAGTTGCGGGTGAGACATCCTTTCTTCAGCTCCCCAACAGTGACCAGCGTGCTGCCACCCTGCCCTTCCTGATGGCTCTGCCCGGAGCTGTCTCTGTACAAAACCACCTTGTCATGCTGGGATCACAAGAGCAGAAGATATTGGAAAAGGGAGGGAGCTCAGGAGGGTAAGCACGCCAACCTACTGCTCAAAGAGCATTGTGCTTCGTGTGACTGAGTAACCGTGGCCATTTCATGGCTCTGAAAGGAAACCTTGGAAGACCTGACTGTGTCTATCTCACCCTTTTGCAGTGGCCCCCACCTGCAGCTGGGCACAGGGGCATGGCCAGCAGCCCTGTACATGCAGTGGTCATCTCTCCATTTCCTGGGAGACCCAAATGTTACTGTTAACAAGCCATTGAAAGGAGGTAGTCGCTGGCATGTGGTTTTTGCAGAGGATTTGGAAGAGCTTCTGCTAGACACCAATGGCACTTTCACCTATTTGGCAGGGTCTTTGGGAACACATTGTGTTCATTCCTAGTGGGAGACCAGAGGAAGCTCAGTGGCACATGCTCTTGCAGGTCCCAGCTGGGATTGCCATTGTCCCTTGCAACACATTGAGCAAACTGCTCAAATGCTCCAAGGGCATGACCGTAGGAGACACAAGCAGCCCAGACCGACACATCCTGAGGTTTGGGGGAAGTGGGAAAGAATCAGGAAGGCTGAGGAAAAACCATGGTTCGACACTGTGATGTAATGCACAGCTTTTATTGCAGTCTTAGAGGGTGGAGGGAGCTGGGAGAAGAACAGGGCCCTGGCCAGGGCCTTCCCCTGCTTCCTGGCAGTGAGGAGGGTACAACGAGCATCAGCTGTGCTGCAGGAGCAGGCACCCAGTGCAGGTCTCTGTCACTGAGGGGCAATGAGTCTTGAAGGGATGGTAAAGCGGGACAGGAGGAAAGCAGAATTGGGCCCCAACCATGAACGAGACATCCAAGCTCTGGAGCGCAGCAATGCTGAAGGGATGTCCTTTCACGGATCGTTATGTCAGGATGTGATAGGGCCTTTTACTGAGACCTCCCTCTTCTGCACTCAGACCAAATTTGGAGCTTAGCAGGAACCGCAGTTGCCACTGAGGTACCTGCTCCCTCGGCGCCATCCTCCGTATCCACAACCCCCATAGCCTCCGTTGGCCCAGTAACCTCCGTAGCCTCCCCAGCCACCATAGCCTCCATAGCCTCCATAGCCCCCATAGCCTCCATAGCCACCCCAGCCACCACGGCCGCCAAAACTGCCACCAAATCCCGACGCAATGACGGGGGCTCCCGCCGAGCCAACAACACTCTGCTGTGGGAAGGAGCTGAGGATGGGCCCGGGGAAGGTGACCACCGAGGCCGGGGGCTGGATCACCACCGTGGAGTCGGGGCACTGCCGCACGCAGGGCTCGTTGCAGGTGTCAGCCAGAGGGGCTGGGGCAGCCACCCCACAGGACGTGTTGCACAGGCTGGTGCACGACATCTTTTGGTTTGGTAAGGCTGCAAGACAAGACAGAGCTACAGCTCAGTGCAAGGCCTGACCCCAAATCCCTCCTGGCTCTCTTGCACTTCAGATCTGTGTTCTGAGACATGCTTGGGAACATCTGAGGCAGTCAGAGCAAAAAAACTTTCCAAGTGTTGAAATACTGGGTGGACTCCTTCTTCCCCTCATGCTCCTGGTTCTCATTCACCCACGGGAGTGAGGAAAAACTCCCTCATCCATGGCAGGTGGAAAACCACCGTTGTCCCAAAAAACTTCAATCCCTTGGCATACTCATGGCATCGTACCTACAAGTTTAAATTTCCATCCTTTCCATGACTCTCAAAAAGCACTGTCACATCCTAACTCTGCACTATAAAACCGTGGTGGAGCAGACAGCAAGAGAGGTCATAAGAAAGCCACTGGTGAGGAAGGAAAGAGCAAGGTAAGGTTTGGACTTACCACAGTGATCAGGAGAGTCAAGCGGAGGAAGATGGATAGAGGGCTGCAAAGCCCTCAGCTCTTTTATACTTTTCCCAGGCTGCCCGGGGCACCAACCAAAGTGGCAGTTGCAAACATCCCAGGTAATTATGAATTCAAGCTGACAAGATGCATGTCACTGATAGAGATGGGAGACAATTATATGCATCCTCCATGGGGACGTTGGTGCACAAACGCGCCCTGAAAAAGAAAGAGCTGTAGGGAGGGATTGTCTGTGACACGTCAGTACATGAAAGACCAGGCGACGTTGTAGCTGAACTCGCAGCACCAATAAACCCCAATCTGTCCCTAATCCCTCGCTTTGCTTACGTGGAGGAATCCTGGGCATCTTGCAGAAGATTGCTGTGCCCAACCACGCCGCACTCAGCAGCAGCCCAGCCACGTGCCCAGGGCCAGCAGTGCCCAACACGCCTGTGCCTGTGGGGAGCGTGGCCACGTGCGGCCTGGTTCCCTGTGGGTGCTTGGGCAGCATCTCCCGGCACAGTCCTCAGTGCCCAGCTGAGTCACGCAGCCCCTGCAAAGAGGGCTTGGGGAGGATCGTGCTCACAGACATGAGGCTGCGGGGACCTGGCAGTGACCGGGTCCAGTTGCTGCCCCTCTGCTTCTCCATATACGTCCCCCATCTCAGAGAACTCCCCTGCTCTATCTCACTGTTGTGCCCATCACGTCTCTACCAGCTCCCTGGGCATTTCTGGTTTTGCCATGCCTGGGACCTGTCTCCTCTACTCTTTACATGGGCGTCATGGGAAACCTGAACCTAAAAGTCTGAATGTCTTCCAGACCCTTAGAGGTGGGCAACGAATAGAGATATCTGTGGACCCCAGGCCCATGATATGCACAGCTGTTGCTGGCATTTGGAGGTGGTGTGTGTTTGGAAGTCACCCTGAGCGTGTGGAATGGCTTCTCCCTTTGCCAACATCCCAGGGCATTTGTTTACCAGCCTGTAAAAGAGAGGGAATGACAGGCGCGATGGCTGCACCCAGGATTGAAAAGCAATTCTGCAAGATGTCCAGGATTCTTCTACAAAGACAAACTGTGGGAGATCAGGGAGAGATTGGGGTTTATTGATGCTGTGAGGTCAGCTATAGCAGTGCCTGATCTTCCACATAATGGCATGACATGTTCTGTCCCTCCCATCACTCGTGCCTTCTCTAAGATGTGTTTCCTCACCCATGTATCAAATGAGTAGGTATGTAATTGTCTCACATCACAATCTGTGTCATAAAGTTTGTCGGTGTCCTTTCATACTTTCCTGGGGTTTCTGCACCGCCCACTTGGCCGATGTCCCAGGCACTGTGGGACAGGTATAAAAGAGCTGAGGGCTCTGCAGCTCTCTATCCATCTTCCCCTGCTTGACTCTCCTGATCAACCGGGTAAGTCCAGCTCTCAGAAGCCTCTTGGGGATCTCTCCCTGACCCCCTCGATACAGCCCCTTCCCCGCACACACCCTGGCCTAATCCCTGGTGCCTTTTCCAGGACTCCTTGCCTGCCTGAAAGATGTCGTGCACCAGCCTGTGCAACACGTCCTGTGGGGCGGCTGCCCCGGCCCCTCTGGCTGACACCTGCAACGAGCCCTGCGTGCGGCAGTGCCCCGACTCCACGGTGGTGATCCAGCCCCCGGCCTCGGTGGTCACCTTCCCCGGGCCCATCCTCAGCTCCTTCCCGCAGCACAGCACCGTTGGCTCAGCAGGAGCCCCCGTCATAGGGTCGGGCTTTGGCGGCAGTTTTGGAGGCCGTGGTGGCTGGGGTGGCTATGGAGGCTATGGAGGCTATGGGGGCTATGGAGGCTATGGTGGCTGGGGTGGCTATGGAGGCTGGGGTGGCTATGGAGGGTATGGGAACTGGGGTGGCTATGGGGGTTGTGGATACGGTGGCTGGGCCCGAGGCCACAGATACATCAATGGCAACTGCTCACCCTGCTAAACTCCACGCCTACTCCGGCCACACATCAAGGTGATCTTCCCGGACACGACGCCCCACAGAAGGACATCTCTTTGGCATTGCTGGGCTCCAGAGCTTGGATGCCTCGTGCCTGCTCGTGGACACACTCTGCCTTCCTCCTGTCACCCTTGAGCTTCACTTCAGGACTTGCTGCCAACTGACGATGCAGCCCCATGCTGGGTGCCTGCTCCTGCGGCACGGCTGATGCTCACACTCACTCTGCCTGCTGCCAGGAGATGTGGGCTGCCCTTGGCCAGGGCCCTGCTCTTCTCCCAACTCCTTCCTCCCCTTGAATCGCAATAAAAGCTGTGTTGCATTACAATGTTGACCTATGGTTTTTCTACATCCAGCATAGAATCATAATATCATAGAAACTTCGAGTCACATAATGTTTTGGTTTGGAAGGTTCCTTAATGTTCTTATGATTCCAACCTTCTTGGTGTTAGCGGGCATACCATCCACTAGGCCAGGCTACTTAAGGTTTGTTTCAACCTGGTGTTGAACACTTCCAGGAAGCCTGCATTCACAGCTTCTCTGGGCAATCTGTTCCAGTTCCTCACCACCCTCACAGAAAATAATTTTTTCCTTATATCTAATCCAAATCTACTCTCTTTCAGTTTAAAACAGGTGCCCCTCATCCTATACCCACACCCCCTGATAAAGGGTCACTCCCCACCTTTCCTTTATCGGATTTAATTACTGGAAGGTCTCCCTGGAGCCTTCTGTTCTCCTGGCTGAACACTCCCAACTGTCTTAGCCTGACCCATAGGGGACTTTTTCCAGCCCCCCGAGCATCTTTGCCTCCTCTGGCCCTGTTTGAGCAGGTCTGTGTCCTTCTGATGTTGGGGGCCCCAGAGCTGTACCCAGCACTGCAGGACGGTCTCCCTGCCGTGGAGCAGAGGAGGAGAATCCCTTCCCTTGACCTGCTGGCCCCACGTCTTTGATGCATCCCAGGCTGCAGTTGTCTTTCTGAGCTGCGAGCACACATTGCTTGCTCATTGTCAAGTTTTTCATCCACTAATACCCACAAGTCCTTCTCCTCAGATCTGTTCTCCATCAACTCCTCAGCCAGCCTGGATCAGAGGTTGGGAGTGTTCCCATCCATGGGGAGCACCTGACACTTGGTCGTGTTAAATTTCATGAGATTTACACAGGCTCACCTCTTGAGCCTGTCCAAGTCCCTCTGGATGGCGTCCCTTCCCTCCAGCATGTCACTGCATGACACAGATCGATTTCCCCTTGGAAGTTACTGAGGATGTAAATTTGTTGAGGGACACCTGGCCACAGATAAGGATAGATAGAGACAAGCATCCTTAAAGACGTGAGAAGACATCTTTTCTTCAGCTCTCCAGCCGTGACCAGTGTGCTCCCACATTACTGTTCCTGATGGCTCTGCCCAGAGCTGTCTCTGTGCAAGACCAACTTGTCATGCTGGGATCACAAGATCAGAAAATACACGGGAAGGGAGGGAGCTCAGGAGGGTAAGCACTCCAACCTCCTGCTAAAAGAGCATTGTGCTTCATGTGACTGAGTAACCGTGGCCATTTCATGGCTCTGAAAGGAAACCTTGGAAGACCTGACTGTGTCTATCTCACCCTTTTGCAGTGGCCCCCACCTCCAGCTGGGCACAGGGGCATGGCCAGCAGCCCTGTACATGAAGGGGTCATCTCTCCCTTTCCACAGAGCTCCAAATGTGACTGTTAACAAGCCAAAGAAATTGCTTGTTAAGCTTGTTAAGCAAAGACCTGGCATGTTAATTTTGAAAAAGGTTTGGAAGAGTGATGGTTCATCCATGGCCTTTTCCAGAGCCATTCTTCATCCGTGACTGGACCAAGTGAGGGGCTTAGCAGGAACTACAGTTGCCTATGAGGTACCTTTTGCCTCGGCCACAACCACCATATCCACAACCACCATGGCCTCCATGGCCACCTCAGGGACCACTGCATCCAGAGGACCCCAGCCACCATAGCTATAACCTCCAAAACCGCCTTGGTCTCCAAATTGCCACCATATTCCCACGCAATGCCAGGGGCTCCTGCCAAGCGCACGGTGCTGTGCTGTGTAGTTTTGTTACTTGTGAGTGTCTGAGACATTCCTCGCCTCGGAGGGCCTCCTCTCCCCGCTCCCCCTCACGTCCTTTATCTTTGCCAAGTCTCATCTCTCGCTATTGTTTATGCTTCCCTTAGGTGGCTTCTCTCAGTCCTTGTTTCCAGGAGTTACAAGTCATCTCCTACACCATCCTGCAGTGCCCCAGCACTAGGGCCACCCCCGTGCCACCGATGAGGTCCTCAGTGTTGCCTTTGTTCCTGGCCACACTGCGTGCACTGTCCTACCAGTTTGATGCTGGTGCCAGCAATAGATGCCCAGAGCCTGGAAATGGGTCACGGGTCAGCAGGAGAGCACCTGAAGAGCAGCACAAAGGAATTCCAGTCAGTAAGGCAGCTTCCTCGGGGGTCCAGCTTAAATACCTCTTTGCAAATGCATATAGGATGGGGAATAAACAAGAGGAGCTAGAGACGTGCGTACATCTGCAGGGCGACAATCTTATTGGCATCACAGAGACATGGTGGGATGACTCTTATGACTGGAGTGTTGCAATGGAACGGCACAGGCTCTTTAGGAAGCGCAGGCTGTGGGGATGAAGAGCAGGTCTGAGACCATCTAAGGAACCTGAAGGTGCACAACTCGATGGCACCTGATAAGATGCATCTGTGGAAAACTGAGGGAACTGGCAGAGAAAGTGGCTAGGCCACAATCCATCATATTAGGGAAGTCGTGGCAGCCCGGTGAAGGTCCTGACAGACTGACACGAAAAGGGGAAAAATAACCCCCATTTTTACAAAGGGAAAAAAAGAAGACCCAGGAAGACAGGCCAGTCAGTCTCACCTCTATAGCCGGCAAGATGATGGAGTGGATCCTCCTAGAAACTGTGCTAGGACGCATGGAAAATGAGGAGGTGATTGGTGACTGTCAGCATGGCTTCACTAAGGGCAAGTTGTACCAGACAAACTTAGTGGCCTTCTATGACAGGGTTACAGAGGTAGCGGATAAGGGAAAAGCAACTGATGTCATCTACCTGGATGTGTGCGAAGCATTTGATACCGTGCCACAGGACATTCTTGTCTCTACATTGGGCAGATATGGATTTGAGGGATGAACCACTCACTGGATAAGCAATTGGCTGGAGGGTCACACTCCAAGAGTTCCGGTCAGCGGCTCGATGTCTGAGTGGAGAGCAGTGACGAGTGGCATTCCTCGGGGGTCGGTGTTGGGACTGGTGCTGCTTAATGTCTTTGTGGGCGACATGGTCAGTGGGATGGAGTGCACCCTCGGCAAGTTAACCGATGACACCAACCTGTGTGGTGCGGTGACACGCTGGTGGGCAGGGATGCCATCCAGAGGGACCTGTCCAGGCTGGAGAGGTGGGCCTGGGCAAACATCTAGTGTTCAACAAGGCCAAGTGTAAGGTCTTGCACATGGGTTGAGGCAATCCCATGCACAATTCCAAGCTGGGCAATGAGTGGGTTGAGAGCAGCGCTGCAGAGATGGACTCGCAGGTATCAGTGGATGGAAAACTGCCTCTGAGCCAGCAATGTGAGCTCACGACCCAGAAAGTCAGCCATGCCCTGGGCTGCATCAAGAGAAATGTGGGCAGCGGGTTGATGGAGGGGATTCTTCCCCTCTACTCCGCTCCGGGGAGAACTCCCTGCAGTACTGTGTCCAGGTCTGGTTCCTCAACATCAGAAGGACGTGGACCTGCTTGAGTGGGGCCAGAGGAGGTCACAAAGATGATCAGGGTGATACAGCATCTCCCCAGTGAGGCCAGGCTGAAAGAGTTGTGGTTATTCGGCCAGGAGAACAGAAGGTTCTGGGAAGACCTTATAGCAACCTTCCAGTACATAGAGGGGCTACAGAAAAGGTGGGGAAGCTACTCTTTCTCAGGGGGTGTGGGGATAGAACGAGGGTTAATGGATTTAAAGTGAAAGAGTTTGGATTTAGATTAGATATCGGGAAGAAATTTTTTTCTGTGAGGGTGGTGAGACACTGGACCAGGTTGCCCAGAGAAGCTGTGTCTTACCCCTCCAAGGAAGGGATTAAGATCAAATGGGACGGGGATTTGAGCAACATGGTCAAGTGGAAGGTGTCCATGACCATGGGATCTTAAGGTCCCTTCCAACTTAAACCATTCTGTAATTCTATGCTACTATGATTCCATGAAGGATGAAGAAAAAACATGAGACAACATTGCGATGCAACACAGCTTTTATTGCGGTTCAAGGGGAGGAAGGAGTTGGGAGAAGAGCAGGGCCCTGGCCAAGGGCAGCCTACATCTCCTGGCAGCAGGCAGAGTGAGTGTGAGCATCAGCCGTGCCGCAGGAGCAGGCACCCAGCATGGGGCTGCATCGTCTGTTGGCAGCAAGTCCTGAAGTGAAGCTCAAGGGTGACAGGAGGAAGGCAAGTGTGTCCACGAGCAGGCACGAGGCACCCAAGCTCTGGAGCCCAGCAATGCCAAAGAGATGTCCTTCTGTGGGGCGTCATGTCCGGGAAGATCACCTCGGTGTGTGGCGGGAGCAGGTGAGGAGTTTAGCAGGGTGAGCAGTTGCCGTTGAGGTATCTGTGGCCTCGGGCCCAGCCACCGTATCCACAGCCCCCATAGCCACCCCAGCCTCCATAACCTCCGTAGCCTCCCCAGCCCCCACAGCCTCCATAGCCACCCCAGCCTCCATACCCTCCATAGCCACCCCAGCCCCCATAGCCTCCATAGCCCCCATAGCCTCCATAGCCACCATAACCACCCCAGCCACCACGGCCTCCAAAACTGCCGCCAAAGCCCGACCCTATGACGGGGGCTCCTGCTGAGCCAACGGTGCTGTGCTGCGGGAAGGAGCTGAGGATGGGCCCGGGGAAGGTGACCACCGAGGCCGGGGGCTGGATCACCACCGTGGAGTCGGGGCACTGCCGCACGCAGGGCTCGTTGCAGGTGTCAGCCAGAGGGGCCGGGGCAGCCGCCCCACAGGACGTGTTGCACAGGCTGGTGCACGACATCTTTCAGGCAGGCAAGGAGTCCTGGAAAAGGCACCAGGGATTAGGCCAGGGTGTGTGTGGGGAAGGGGCTGTATCAAGGCGGTCAGGGAGAGATCCCCAAGAGGATTCCGAGAGTTGGACTTACCCGGTTGATCAGGAGAGTCAAGCAGAGGAAGATGGATAGAGGGCTGCAGAGCCCTCAGTTCTTTTATACCTGTCCCACAGTGCCTGGGGCATCGGCCAAGGGGGAGGTGCAGAAACCCCAGGAAATTATGAAAGTACGCGAACAAACTTTATGACACAGATTGTGATGTGAGACAATTACATACCTACTCATTTGATACATTCTCCTAGAAATTCATCTAGGAGAGTATAGTGGTGATGGGAGTAGAGATCATAACATGCTATTACATGAAAGATCAGGAACCCCTATAGGTGATCTCGTGGCACCAATAAACCCCAATCTCTCCCTAATCTCCCACAGTTTGTCTTTGTAGAAGAATCCTGGACATCTTGCAGAATTGCTTTTCAATCCTGGGTGCAGCCATCGCGCCTGTCATTCCCTCTCTTTTACAGGCTGGTAAACAAATGCCCTGGGATGTTGGCAAAGGGAGAAGCCATTCCACACGCTCAGGGTGACTTCCAAACACACACCACCTCCAAATGCCAGCAACAGCTGTGCATATCATGGGCCTGGGGTCTACAGATATCTCTATTCGTTGCCCACCTCTAAGGGTCTGGAGGACATTCAAACTTTTAGGTTCAGGTTTCCCATGACGCCCATGCAAAGAGTAGAGGAGACGGGTCCCAGGCATGGCAAAACCAGAAATGCCCAGGGAGCTGGTAGAGACGTGATGGGCACAACAGTGAGATAGAGCAGGGGAGATCTCTGAGATGGGGGACGTATATGGAGAAGCAGAAGGGCAGCAACTGGACCCGGTCACTGCCAGGTCCCCGCAGCCTCATGTCTGTGAGCACGATCCTCCCCAAGCCCTCTTTGCAGGGGCTGCGTGACTCAGCTGGGCACTGAGGACTGTGCCGGGAGATGCTGCCCAAGCACCCACAGGGAACCAGGCCGCACGTGGCCACGCTCCCCACAGGCACAGGCGTGTTGGGCACTGCTGGCCCTGGGCACGTGGCTGGGCTGCTGCTGAGTGCGGCGTGGTTGGGCACAGCAATCTTCTGCAAGATGCCCAGGATTCCTCCACGTAAGCAAAGCGAGGGATTAGGGACAGATTGGGGTTTATTGGTGCTGCGAGTTCAGCTACAACGTCGCCTGGTCTTTCATGTACTGACGTGTCACAGACAATCCCTCCCTACAGCTCTTTCTTTTTCAGGGCGCGTTTGTACACCAACGTCCCCATTGAGGAGGCATATAATTGTCTCCCATCCCTATCAGTGACATGCATCTTGTCAGCTTGAATTCAAAATTACCTGGGATGTTTGCAACTGCCACTTTGGTTGGTGCCCCGGGCAGCCTGGGAAATGTATAAAAGAGCTGAGGGCTTTGCAGCCCTCTGTCCATCTTCCTCCGCTTGACTCTCCTGATCACTGTGGTAAGTCCAAACCTTACCTTGCTCTTTCCTTCCTCACCAGTGGCTTTCTTATGACCTCTCTTGCTGTCTGCTCCACCACGGTTTTATAGTGCAGAGTTAGGATGTGACAGTGCTTTTTGAGAGTCATGGAAAGGATGGAAATTTAAACTTGTAGGTACGATGCCATGAGTATGCCAAGGGATTGAAGTTTTTTGGGACAACGGTGGTTTTCCACCTGCCATGGATGAGGGAGTTTTTCCTCACTCCCGTGGGTGAATGAGAACCAGGAGCATGAAGGGAAGAAGGAGTCCAAATCAGCATTTCGACACTTGGAAAGATTTTTGCTCTGACTGCCTGAGATGGTCCTGAGCATGTCTCGGGACACAGATCTGAAGTGCAAGAGAGCCAGGAGGGATTTGGGGTCAGGCCTTGCTCTGAGCTGTAGCTCTGTCTTGTCTTGCAGCCTTACCAAACCAAAAGATGTCGTGCACCAGTCTGTGCAATACGTCCTGTGGGGCGGCCGCCCCGGCCCCTCTGGCTGACACCTGCAACGAGCCCTGCGTGCGGCAGTGCCCCGACTCCACGGTGGTGATCCAGCCCCCGGCCTCGGTGGTCACCTTCCCCGGGCCCATCCTCAGCTCCTTCCCTCAGCAGAGTGTTGTTGGCTCGGCAGGAGCCCCCGTCATTGGGTCGGGCTTTGGTGGCAGTTTTGGCGGCCGTGGTGGCTGGGGTGGCTATGGAGGCTATGGGGGCTGGGGTGGTTATGGAGGCTATGGGGGCTATGGAGGCTATGGGGGTTATGGGGGCTATGGAGGCTATGGGGGTTATGGGGGCTACGGAGGCTATGGGGGTTGTGGATATGGAGGATGGGGCCGAGGCAGCAGGTACCTCAGTGGCAACTGCGGTTCCTGCTAAGCTCCTCACTGGTTCCAAGGAGAGATGAAGTAGACCTCAGGAAAAGGACTTGGCACATCCCAAAACAATGCTTATAGAAGGACATCCCTTCAGCATTGCTGCGCTCCAGAGCTTGGATGCCTCGTACATGGTTGGGGCCCAATTCTTCTTTCCTCCTGTCCCGCTTTACCATCCCTTCAAGACTCATTGCTCCTCAGTGACAGAGACCTGCACTGGGTGCCTGCTCCTGCAGCACAGCTGATGCTCGTTGTACCCTCCTCACTGCCAGGAAGCAGGGGAAGGCCCTGGCCAGGGCCCTGTTCTTCTCCCAGCTCCCTCCACCCTCTAAGACTGCAATAAAAGCTGTGCATTACATCACAGTGTCGAACCATCGTTTTTCCTCAGGCGTCCTGATTCTTTCCTACTTCCCCCAAACCTCAGGATGTGTCGGTCTGGGCTGCTTGTGTCTCCTACGGTCATGCCCTTGGAGCATTTGAGCAGTTTGCTCAATGTGTTGCAAGGGACAATGGCAATCCCAGCTGGGACCTGCAAGAGCATGTGCCACTGAGCTTCCTCTGGTCTCCCACTAGGAATGAACACAACGTGTTCCCAAAGACCCTGCCAAATCGGTGAAAGTGCCATTGGTGTCTAGCAGAAGCTCTTCCAAATCCTCTTCAAACACCGCATGCCAGCGACTACCTCCTTTCAATGGCTTGTTAACAGTAACATTTGGATCTCCCAGGAAATGGAGAGATGACCACTGCATGTACAGGGCTGCTGGCCATGCCCCTGTGCCCAGCTGCAGGTGGGGGCCACTGCAAAAGGGTGAGATAGACACAGTCAGGTCTTCCAAGGTTTCCTTTAGAGCCATGAAATGGCCACGGTTACTCAGTCACGCGAAGCACAATGCTCTTTGAGCAGGAGGTTGGCGTGTTTCCCCTCCTGAGCTCCCTCCCTTTCCCAATATCTTCTGATCTTGTGATCCCAGCATGACAAGGTGGTTTTGTACAGAGACAGCTCCGGGCAGAGCCATCAGGAAGGGCAGGGTGGCAGCACGCTGGTCACTGTTGGGGAGCTGAAGAAAGGATGTCTCACCCACAACTGTGAACACAGTGCAAGGTAAAAAAAAGGCAGCAACATGGCAAGAGCAGGACTTCTTGTTTTCGACTGCCTGAACAGAAGCTTGCAAGTCTATTCTTCTCCTCGAGGATGTTTCAGTCTCTGCCCATCCTCGTGTTTGACCAGGGCCCCCTGAACTGACTCTTGGCCATTCTCCAATTCCTGGCTCATGTGGAACTAGTGTGTCTGCTGAGGGCACAGTGGTAGAAGAGGCTACTGATGTCCCCGTCATGGCTGCTATGGCTGAGTGCTTTTGAGGGGAGCGCCAGTATGGTCTACTTTGTGTGCTGGAGAGCAAGGAAAGGCATCAAAGTTCCAGCAAAATCTGATCCACAGCACCAGGCTGTGGGGATCTCCCCTGTCATTCCTGGGCAGAGCTGTGTCCTCAGGCAGTGGAAGGCTGGCAAAAGGAATGCTGGGATGAGCTTCTGCAACAGCAGTGGGGGCACCATAGGACCAAATCTTCCCCAAGTGCAGTGGAAGACAGGGGAATTTCAGAACAAGGAGGTGGTTTGGGGGTGCAGGATTGTGGAGGATATGGAATCAGGCATCTGGGGAGGTGTTAGGGGGGTGTTCACCGTCTCCTTTCTCGACCCATTGCCTCCCATGGACCTCTGACCTGGGCCTTTGCCATTGTGGTGGCTCCATTATCACTCCAATCCTCACAGCCCTGGGGAAGAGGCAGCCCATGCAGAATGGCCAGAGTGGGAGGAAAACTCCCTGTGAGGCCCAACAGTTCTTCTTGTGTTCAGAGGGCAGGAGGCCAAAGTGGGGAGAAGACGGGGAGGGCAAAAAGCAAGAAGCTGTTGCTGAAGGAGGTGAGAACGGCCCCAAGTGCAAGTAACTGTGTGGTGGAGGGACGTGCTGCCAAGGGCGAGCAGGAGGAAGCCAGGCAGCTCCCGCAGGTGCCCCTGATGGGGCCCTGGGATGGATCTGGCTGTGATAACCCAGACACAAGGCTGCCACTCGGGATATTGGGTATGTGGGAAGGATGAAGAAAAAACATGGATCAACACTGTAATGCAACACAGCTTTTATTGCAGTTCAAGGGGAGGAGGGAGATGGGAGAAGAGCAGGGCCCTGGCCAAGGGCAGCCCACATCTCCTGGCAGCAGGCAGAGTGAGTGTGAGCATCAGCCGTGCCGCAGGAGCAGGCACCCAGCATGGGGCTGCGTCGTCAGTTGGCAGCAAGTCCTGAAGTGAAGCTCAAGGGTGACAGGAGGAAGGCAGAGTGTGACCAAGAGCAGGCACGAGGCATCCAAGCTCTGGAGCCCAGCAATGCCAAAGAGATGTCCTTCTGTGGGGCTTCGTGTCCGGGAAGATCACCTTGGTATGTGGGTGGAGCAGGCGTGGAGTTTAGCAGGGTGAGCAGTTGCCGTTGAGGTATCTGTGGCCTCGGGCCCAGCCGCCAGATCCACAACCTCCAAAGCCACCAAAACCCCCATAACCTCCATAGCCACCCCAGCCCCCATAGCCTCCATAGCCCCCATAGCCTCCAGAGCCACCACGGCCGCCAAAACTGCCACCAAAGCCCGACCCAATGACGGGGGCTCCTGCCGAGCCAACGGTGCTGTGCTGCGGGAAGGAGCTGAGGATGGGCCCGGGGAAGGTGACC